GTTTGTACCAGTTGGCGATTGCCTAAGACTGCAAGGGAAGCTCAGCTTCCCCTAAAATGGTCAACAAAATAAGTGGTCAAATATGTACTGTTGTGTGTACATTTCATTGACTAAATATGCGCTAGAACACGTTCATCTTTTGTTCAGAATCAGCTGCTTATCACAGGTAACCGACACGACTTCTTCTCATTCATCCCGCGCAGCGCCACAGTGCTTTACACAGTGTAGACGCCAAGCGTCTACTGACTTCAAATGGGGAAGCATAGAGTGGGTTGTTCCACTGCAAGCGAAACTAGACCGGTCATGTGGATAAATGCTGGGCTTTGTCCCGCTCATCGGACGCTCAGCATCTCTGGGGGTCTATGGGGCAGTGGGCTGGCCGGACGCTCGGCTTCTGCATGATGATTGGATGATCTGTCTTGAAGTTGAGTCCCTTTTGATTGAAAGCGAAATGAGCGAATCAGCGATCTTGAAGTATAAGCATCCACCGGAGCATTTTTCAAAGTTTTTCATTCCGTTGTTCGGAGTTGATCTGGAGACGTTACTGATCCTCAGCGACTTTGTCTTTGTTAAAAATGACTAGCGTTGTGTTTGGCGACTCTCTTCTGTCACTCTGCGAATTTACATATAAATAAACGGACACATTTTATGATGTAGGACGAAAATGAGGTTCCCCTCCTTAATAAAGACCAAGCAGCCGCCACTGGTTTGTACCATCCACTCATTTGCTCTTTTCAAGCTCTTGCTGCTTTAAGGAACAGTTTTCTACTCTGACAGAGGAGGTAAAGAAAAGTGAGCGATGCAACAGGAGCTATAAGCTATAATAGCTTGCTTTGGACTCTCCACCTCTCCATCTGTTCAAAAAGTTAGCGTGCTAATTGGTCAGCTGTGTGTCAGTGTTTCACCAAAGCTTTTACAGCTGTTTATTCCTGATGTGTTCAGGACCGTTTATTAGGGAGTGCTGTAGTAGATGCTGCTTTGTCTGAGAATATGGATAGTAAACCCCTGAAATGTTTTATCATTTTCAGAAAGACTGTTGAAACTAAGGCTTTCATCAGTCCACTGTGGTGGAAGTTACAATGTAAGAAAATATCATATATAAGTAACATAATATCAATATTCAGTCTTTTGTAGAAACCTCAAAACTGTTAAACTTTACACTATTTAAAGATCATAAGGTAAATTTGTAACTTTTTTGTCACCTGCAAACTGTAACATTTACAGTTCACATGCTTTTTTCTAAAGGGCTGATGCCCTTTGAATGTTACAGAATTGGATTTTTTGTAAACAGTGCACTGTCAACATTGGAAGATAGTGTTGTACTGTATAATGTTAGTATTTAGTATTGGAATTAGGGCATAGAGTCTCTGTAGAGGAAAAACACAAGTCTTTTGTCCTGCGTGAACTGAAGTGACTGATCGTACGAGTCACCTTAACAATTTGTGGTTTCTGCACACACACACACACACAACACACACACACACACACACACACACACAATCACGCAATGTCTGTGAAGAAAACATTATAAATCGCAGGAAGTGGAATATGTTGTAAAAATGAGAGCAAGAACAGTGAAACACAAGGAAAACAAACCTATCCGGACTCACACAGACAGACAAAAAAGACACGTATGAATGAAATGACACATCTGCACAGTGGTCTACTTTAAAAAAAACATTTCCTTTTTTATTTTGTCAGAGACCAAAAATAGCCTCTCAAAGTCTACATGCAGAATATTAACATGTCAAACACTTTCTAGTCACATTTAGAGAAGTTACGGCTGCGATGGTCGACAACAAGTAGAAACACGTTGCTCAGCGGAGGGTAGGGGTGGAAGGGGAGGGCGGCTCATCTACGACCTATAGACATTACAGAAAAAACTCCTGTGACAGAAATAAAACTACAAAACACACAGAGAAGACTAACCTCCCTCAGCACAGCCTCAGAGTTTCATCTTCGCACAGATACAGAAAGGAAAAGCAGTGTTCGTGAAATCTGAATCAGGACCTTCCATTGCAGGTAAATTGCTGTACAGGGGGCAAGTATACTCTGTCAGAAAGTGCTTTTTGGATGGTCAATAAACTTTGGAAATCCCCTCCCCTCAAACACCCTTCTGATGTTGGATTGGGAGGTGACTGTCTCTGATCACTTCTGTATCTTTCTGAAACCAATTGTTCAACATTGACACAAGTTTAGAAAGTTTTGACATTCTCTCTTTAGCTTTCACTTTTCATGCGATCCACCAAGGCTATCTGCTTAATTAGCTATCTTGCTAGCTAAACTTAGCATGACTTCCGTTTTTTTTAACTGATAATGGTAGAGCTATCAAGCTTGCATCCAGCCAGCTGTGGTTGAGGACTGATGCTATTGGCTATATTTTCTTGGCATCAGAAGTTTATTCCGGCTAGTTGTAGCTATACTTTGGATTGTTCAGACAGTGAATTACAGCGGCCCAGTCTGCGAACTACTTTTGGAAAGTGAGCTTAACAGTAATATATTAGCAACCTAGGTAATGCTAGCTTGTCACCAGACTGTGCTACACTGCTGATACAGTGGCTTCTTCCATTAAGACTCCTCGGCTCTCCGTTACCTTGAAGGTCAGCATTCGAATTCTGTTCCAAACTTTCGATGCTGGTGTGAATGAACCGGTCGTGTCTTTTTTCCATCGACAGACAAAGAAAGAGATGAGACCAGAGCACAGGAGGACTGGCCATGGGGACTAACTGCTCAAATCCCGGTCAGCTGGTGGACCGCCAAAACATCCATAAAGTCCANACTGCAAGGGAAGCTCAGCTTCCCCTAAAATGTCAACAAAATAAGTGGTCAAATATGTACTGTTGTGTGTACATTTCATTGACTAAATATGCGCTAGAACACGTTCATCTTTTGTTCAGAATCAGCTGCTTATCACAGGTAACCGACACGACTTCCTTCTCATTCATCCCCGCAGCGCCACAGTGCTTTACACAGTGTAGACGCCAAGCGTCTACTGACTTCAATGGGGAAGCATAGAGTGGGTTGTTCCACTGCAGCGAAACTAGACGGTCATTGGATAAATGCTGGGCTTTGTCCCGCTCATCGGACGCTCAGCATCTCTGGGGGTCTATGGGGCAGTGGGCTGGCCCGGACGCTCGGCTTCTGCATGATGATTGGATGATCTGTCTGAAGTTGAGTCCCTTTTTGATTGACAGCGAAATGAGCGAATCAGCGATCTTGAAGTATAAGCATCCACCGGAGCATTTTTCAAGTTTTTCATTCCGTTGTTCGGAGTTGATCTGGAGACGTTACTGATCCTCAGCGACTTTGTCTTTGTTAAAAATGACTAGCGTTGTGTTTGGCGACTCTCTTCTGTCACTCTGCGAATTTACATATAAATAAACGGACACATTTTATGATGTAGGACGAAAATGAGGTTCCCCTCCTTATAAGACCAGCAGCCGCCACTGGTTTGTACCATCCACTCATTTGCTCTTTTCAAGCTCTTGCTGCTTTAAGGAACAGTTTCTACTCTGACAGAGGAGGTAAAAGAAAAGTGAGCGATGCAACAGAGCTAATAAGCTATAATAGCTTGCTTTGGACTCTCCACCTCTCCATCTGTTCAAAAGTTAGCGTGCTATTGGTCAGCTGTGTGTCAGTGTTCACCAAAGCTTTTACAGCTGTTATTCCTGATGTGTTCAGGCCGTATTAGGGAGTGCTGTAGTAGATGCTGCTTTGTCTGAGAATATGGATAGTAAACCCTGAAATGTTTATCATTTTCAGAAAGACTGTTGAAACTAAGGCTTTCATCAGTCCACTGTGTGGAAGTTACAATGTAAGAAATATCATATATAAGTAACATAATATCACATATTCAGTCTTTGTAGAAACCTCAAAACTGTTAACTTTACACTATTTAAAGATCATAAGGTAAAATTTGTACTTTTGTCACCTGCAAACCTGTAACATTTACAGTTCACATGCTTTTTCTAAAGGGGCTGATGCCCTTGAATGTTACAGATGGATTTCTTGTAAACAGTGCACTGTCAACATTGGAAGATAGTGTGTACTGTATAATGTTAGTATTTAGTATTGGAATTAGGGCATAGAGTCTCTGTAGAGGAAAAACACAAGTCTTTTGTCTGCGTGAACTGAAGTGACTGATCGTACGAGTCACCTTAACAATTTGTGTTTCTGCACACACACACACACACACACACACACACACACACACACACACACGCAATGTCTGTGAAGAAAACATTATAAATCGCAGGAAGTGGAATATGTTGTAAAATGAGAGCAAGAACAGTGAAACACAAGGAAAACAAACCTATCCGGACTCACACAGACAGACAAAAAAGACACGTATGAATGAAATGACACATCTGCACAGTGGTCTACTTTAAAAAAACATTTCCTTTTTTATTTTGTCAGAGACCAAAAATAGCCTCTCAAAGTCTACATGCAGAATATTAACATGTCAAACACTTTCTAGTCACATTTAGAGAAGTTACGGCTGCGATGGTCGACAACAAGTAGAAACACGTTGCTCAGCGGAGGGTAGGGGTGGAAGGGGAGGGCGGCTCATCTACGACCTATAGACATTACAGAAAAACTCCTGTGACAGAAAATAAAAACTACAAACACACAGAGAAGACTAACCTCCCTCAGCACAGCCTCAGAGTTTCATCTTCCACAGATACAGAAAGGAAAGCAGTGTTCGTGAAATCTGAATCAGGACCTTCCATTGCAGGTAAATTGCTGTACAGGGGCAAGTATACTCTGTCAGAAGTGCTTTTTGGATGGTCAAATAACTTTGGAAATCCCCTCCCCTCAAACACCCTTCTGATGTTGGATTGGGAGGTGACTGTCTCTGATCACTTCTGTATCTTTCTGAAACCAATTGTTCAACATTGACACAAGGTTAGAAAGTTTGACATTCTCTCTTTAGCTTTCACTTTTCATGCGATCCACCAAGGCTATCTGCTTAATTAGCTATCTTGCTAGCTAAACTTAGCATGACTTCCGTTTTTTTTACTGATAATGGTAGAGCTATCAAGCTTGCATCCAGCCAGCTGTGGTTGAGGACTGATGCTATTGGCTATATTTTCTGGCATCAGAAGTTTATTCCGGCTAGTTGTAGCTATACTTTGGATGTTCAGACAGTGAATTACAGCGGCCAGTCTGCGAACTACTTTGGAAAGTGAGCTTACAGTAATATATTAGCAACCTAGGTACATGCTAGCTTGTCACCAGACTGGTGCTACACTGCTGATACAGTGGCTTCTTCCATTAAGACTCCTCGGCTCTCCGTTACCTTGAAGGTCAGCATTCGATTCTGTTCCAAACTTTCGATGCTGGTGTGAATGAACCCTCAGGCCACTGTAGGTTCGAGACTTTTTTGCTCCGACTTCCTGTTTATTATTTCCACAACTGCTCATCACTGTCTTTAAGTTCTTTTTCTCTTCTTGCAGTTTCAGTTGTAGTTGTTTAAGTTGCTCAGTAATGTAAATGGAAGCAGAGTTAATGCATAGATAATTGGCGGCAAGATGATACAGTGGTTGGTTCTGTCGCCTCAAGGTTCTGGGTTCATGTTGTCCGAAGACATGCAGGTTAATTGGTGACTTTAAATTGACCCTAAGTGTGAATGAGGGTGAATGGTTGTTTTATCTCTATATCTCAGCCCTGTGATAGACTGGCGACTTGTGCAAGTGTACCCCACGTCTCACCCAATGTCAGATGGGATTGGCTCCAGCCCCCCTCAAAGGATAAGCAGTACACCTAATGGATGGATGGATGGATAATTGCCCTTGAAAGTCCTGATTCAGAATATACTGCTCACCTGTCTTCACCACACGAGACGAAACAGAACATTTAAACATTTTGTTTGTGGAATTTAGGAGCGTTCAAGTTATTGGAACAAATCAACTTTGACGATTTTGATGCCTGGTAAAGATATGGCATTAATAGACTTTCATGAAGAGAATCAGCTATCTAATGTGAAATGAACAGGTGAGAATGGGGTTAAAATACTGCTGGAAAACACTGTGACAATTTGACTTTGTAAGTGCTGTCAGCTTCTGCTCTCAGATACCAAACTCTACTGAGTAAGATAGGATGTCTCTGACCTCCCCATTACTGAACATGACAAATACAGTATACAGTTGCACTCATGTGAAGGAACTGAAGGATCCATTTACATAAACTTAAACCTGTCAAGGCGTCATCGCTGGACGCTACTAGAAGGTTTCCTTTGTGATTGACCTTGCAATGATTGGTTTATTGTGAGACATAAATTGTATCCTCAAAAAAAGCTGATACAGAGCAACCGTGCTGAGGTGGGAGGGAGGTGGAATTTATACATCAACACAATTCAGTTATCAGTTTCAGACAGTTTGCAAAGACATGATGGGACTTTGATATAAAACTTATAACTCGACATAAAGAGTATAACAACAGGTTGTGTTACAGTGAAGTCAAGGACACAAGGGAACAACACAGAAAAGGCATTTTCATTCATTGGAAGTACAGTGTCCATCGAGACAGTGGTGAGACCAAATCTGCTGTATGTTTTCTTGTCTGGCTGCCTTTTCTAAATACAGTATTTGTCTGTTATCTCTGCTTAATGCTATGACTTCCTAAGCCATTACGCTCAGAGACGTTAGTTACGACTTGTATCTGATTGCATGTTCATACCAGAAAGAGATGTGGTCTTAAATATTGCCCAAAGGATTATTATCGTGAGGGATTCTCTGTGCTTGGAATGTCTCACAGAGAAGCAAATGCAAAATTAAGACAAATAAAAGAAAGAAAAAACAAGACAACATTTTTCTCTCACATTCATAGAAAAGCCTCGATTGCAGCCATCATCCAGCAACCAAAACTTCTTCCTGTTACATGAAAAGTATCACTACAAGTTTACCTCAGTTTGCAGACAGTCTGACAGGCGACACCCTTCCTTTACAATCCTCTGAATTCAGATTTCGGAACGGAGATCGCAAAAAAACATTCCCGCCTCTGAGCGTTACAATCGACACAAATCTGTTCCTCATTAAAGCAAAAGTGGTTTTTGGGAGAACGTACTCCGAGATTTTCCCACCATCAAAGTGTTTTTGTTCTTTCTCCTGATAAAGACAACAGACTGATTTTAAAATATTACACATTCCTTTTCGTTAACACAGACAAAACACCTCCCACTCAGTCTCCTCCCTTCTTCTGTCCGACTTTGGGTTTTCCTCCACCGTCGCCGGATCTCTGCGGCTCTGAGATGGAGGAGGCGTCGAAGCCGTCAGCTTTTCTTTTTAAAAAGTTTTAAAACTACACCACGGTACACAGTTTTCACAAGTCATGCGAATATACAGGAACTAGAATTTAGAAAGCAATGTTTTAAAATAAAAGTTAACATATAAACCTTGAGTAAAAACTACTTTGAAGAAAATAATAATTATAATAATAATAATAAATTATTAGCTTGTTTAAACACAGTGAAGTCTTTACACAGAATTTCATACCAAAGAATAAGTGTAAACATATCTATATCACCGGCTGGCCCCTTCTCACCTCCTACAAAAATGGACAAAAAATTTAAAACAAACTGCATTTGGTGATCAGCTGCACATTATTAGTAAAAAGTGAAACAGAGAGGGGCATAAAAGTAATCATTTTCAATAAATAGCACATTCCAGAGGAGCAGACATTACTCTGTTAGCCAGTTCACCAAAGGTACCATATTCATAAAGCATTCAACGAAACCTCTAATGAAGCAGTTAAAGTAATTAAGACATTACACATGGTAACAATGTAAAGTGACAGTGGGTTCTGTCGATTCAGCTTCTTCTTCTTGGTCTTGCGGCCAAAACAAACAAACAAACAAAAAAAAAAACAGAATGCACAAATAAATGCGCAACAATTCCATTCAAAGCAGAAAGGAGAGAAAATAAGGCCCCTTAAATAAATATTCTCATTCTTCTTTTTTTTATGGTTTCCCAGGAGAAAAAATAAATGAATACCACACATCTACCGTTAAAAAATGGCATTCCCACGCCGTAAGAAAAAACTTATCAAAAAGAACCCCCGACACACACGGCTATACCATCCTGGAGTTAGTGTCCGAGGAAAAGTGTCCGAGGTTTTGTTTTTGCCGGCGACCTCTGTTGTTTTTTGGACATTTCCTAAAGAGATGGAGAGAAAGATTTATTTTATTTAATACAATTTATTTATTTTCACTGACAGAAATTTTTATATCGTCTTCCTTTCAAGACTTTTTACTGGTGACTGTAAACTTTTTCTGTCAGCTGTTTTATTAAATTTATTTTTAATTTTGAACAAAACAAACACACCCCTCTGTAAAGGTTGCATGACTCGCAGCTCAGAGCACTTCCACAGCTGTCCTTTTTGAATCATATATAAATTAGATGAACAACTGCCTGAGAAAACATCTGGTTCTTTGATAAAAAGCTAAAGGTACAATCATATGAGGACATACAGTAAAAACTGAAGGATGGAAGCCAACTACAACTCCCAAGGTGCATTATGTCCAATCACCAAGTGTGAAATTCTGCTGCAAATGAGTTAAAGATTACACTGTAAATACAATCTGCATTTTCAATTAATTTACTCTCTATTTTAATTTTAGACGAATTCCCAGTTCATACCTCTGAATGGCTTCTATTCAGCTACCTTTGCAGCAGGCTCATGGGTATTGTAGTATTTAGACCCATCCACCAAACTAAAGTAAAATAACTAACAGAGGGGGAAATTACTTCTGCTGTCAGAAGATCCTCACACTAAGATTAGAAATATATGGTGAATTTATCAAAACAACACCAATTTAAGGCATGAGGACCCACTTGCCAGTCAGTCACATGGGGTGCCCCTGGTGGTCTAATGGTTAAGGTGCATTAATGTGCCTAATATGCATTAAGGGATTATCATCAAGCATTATACTGTGTTATTATGTATTTAAGAGTATTTTTTCACAGGTTAACAGCATGGATTAAAACCACTGTGGTGGAGAACACAATCCGTCCTTTCATCATTTCAGCTCAAAGGGATTAAAACTCTTCTGAATTCTGTCTCTGCTGTTTTCACTGACAATACAATATTTTAATGTTGTGCCTGCAATTAACTTTGTAATATCTGTAATTTAAATATTATATATATACATACATACATATACAGTGGATTATAGTATTCCTCCTTATATATTATATATACTTATATATCCCTATATAATTATATATAATACTATATTCCTCCCTATATATATATGTATATATAATATCTATAATTCCCATTAATTCATCCCATAGTTCCCCATTAATTCATCCATTAGTTAATTCCTGTGTTGGGTGAACATTGAAAATGAAGGTAATTTTAAGGAATAAATTACATGTGGCCTCTGATGTTAATTTGTCAGAGATTTTTACCCCTTAAAAAGTAACAGACAGAAAACGCTTTAAAATCCCCTTTGTTTATTATAAGACATTATTTTATCCTTTAATGGACCCCAGACCTGTTATAGACCTGGTAAATACTTTAACAATGAGTAGGGATAACTTATATTCATTCAGAGTTAAAATATTTCAAACCAAACCTTTATAACGTTACAAATATAAATAAGTGGATTTCATGTTCCCCTTCAAACCTACTTTATTTGGAAATTGAGGCCTTTTGAAATTAAGCTTGTCTTAAAGTATTTAGCTTTTAGTGGATGCCATTTTTACCTTGTGATGCACATCACCACGGCGACGATGATGGCAATTTGCACGGCGCCGATGATGGCGGCGATGAGGACGTAGTGCAGTTTCTGTCCACTGGGGACCACGTAGAGGATGTTGAAGTCCTGCGGTTCATCGCACTGCGTACCTTTGTAGCCTGAGTCACATCTGAGGCAAACAGGGAGAGATCAATGAAATGACTGAACACACCTGTCGTAGACACTTTAAACCTGAACGTCAACCTGAACCAGATTAACGAGAGGCCCCAGACAAGAGGTGTGAATGCACCATAATGCACGGGCAGATACAGAAGTATATTAGCTGTATTCTTTTTAGTTTATACTGAAAATGATATTTGAGTTAAAAAAAAATCTGAAAGTGAAAGTATCAAAGCGCTCAGTCCACAGAGAAATGCACACAGCCTGTATTCAGAAACTGAGCCTTAAAACCAGCTGTCAGGACTTCTGGAACTTTGTGATGTCACAACAAAGCAGTCACCACCCTCAGCCATCCCCCAAGCCCCTTCTGAGTGTTTACCTGAAATCTACTATATTTTTATTGGATCACTCAGAAAACAGTCAGCCAATCAGAAGAGAGGATCAGAGCCTCTTCTGATTGGCTGACTGACCTGTTGTTACTAGAGCTCCAGAGAGAAGCCTGAGAGAGGAGATGTAAAACTACATTGAGATGGTTTTTGGTTCTTTGGGTTACATCTTCATATGGATCAACACTTCAAATAAAACACAGGAGAAGAGGAAAATATAGAGCTTTAATTAGTAACAGGATCACTGACAGACCTGCAGGTGGCCATGTTGTACTTGATCTCACATTTCCCGTGAACACAGAAGCCAGCGTAGCTATCGGCGCAGGGGATAGGCATACCGGCGTAGAAACCATCACCATGATCCAGACCTGTGGTTTCTGAACAGGTCGAAGGGAAAAAAAAACACAACGAATAAAAAACATGAGGATGTGACACATGATGTGGCAAATTTATGGAAAATCACATATGAAATATTCAAATTGATGTTCATTGAAAATTAACTCTAGACATATATATAAATTAAAAAAATTAAAAATGTACCACCTTTTTCATTGACTTTTCCGTCCTAAACTCTTGATGCAACTTTCTTTTGGTGTTTTTGAATTTTTTTGTGGTTTTCTACTTCTCTGTCCTTATTTTCTAATAAATCATATGTCTAATCATAACATTAGACATATATATGTATACACACACACAAGTTTTTATAAATATGTTGTTTTATATAAGATTGAAATGTCATTTGGATGTCAAAATTTGGTTAAATGATAAAATATTTCTTTTTTATTTGCTGAATCATTGTCATCCTGTGTCAGCTGCTGTATGAGGGGATAAATTATAAAATACAACTGCTTTGCACATTACAGGATTCTTCAATCACAGAGTTGTCTCTCTTCACTATAATTCACTGCAGCATGAGAGAAACAGCCAACAAAGCAATCTGCACTGCTCATTAAATGACTGATCTGCGATGTACAAAAGTCACATTAACATAAAAAAAGCTTTTAATAACAAACCCTGTGTTGGGGTCTTAAAGTTCACTGTTGGGGAACATTTACGACTTCAGTTGTTACACTTTGTGGATTTATGAGCTTGAAATATTTAATGAAACCTTTTTAAATCATCAGGAATATGAGAAGGCCGATTATGAAGAAGAGTTTAATTGGTTTCACAAGCGCAAGAGCTTCACTATTTATTCACCGTCAGTATCTTATATATTGAGTAAAGAAGATCAGACGAACCGAAGTGTAGTGATGAGTTTTTTTTCTGTTCACACAGGATGATTTCAGCTGCAGTGGTGTTAACCAGACCATTACTTATTACAACTTATCGTTGTTTACTCACAGAACAAAGAGGATACACCTGCAGGAACATGACACCTTCACTGTGATGTCACAATTACAGATTCAGCAAATGAGTCATTTTAACATCCTGGGAATCTGTCAGGTAGAAACCTCCCTGAGAGAAACACACTAATGATCATTATTTATCACATATCTAACTTTTCTAATGGCAGATGATTGTAATGTTACACAGAGGAAATCCAGCAACATCTATGTTTTCTTTATCAAAGTCGATTTTATTTGGGGTATTTTTGTTGCTATTTTTTTTTTAAGACAAACTGTCATTTCATCACACATATTTGGTCAGAAATTTTCTTCATACATTTTATTTTCTTGTGTCAGTTTGATGAACAAACATCAACCTCCAGGACTGAAAAATGAAGCCAACACTGAAGAACCACAAACTGCAGTTCCTCTAATGACCACTAGAGTCTGGCTCCAACGGTGAGTCAGTCCCCATAGACTCCCATGTTAAAATGTCCAACTTTACAGCAGAAATAAATGTGCTGATAATTGACATGTTGATGATTTATCATTTCAACATGCTTCCAGACTTTATTCTTTTTTAACTACAACTGTCTTCATCTACCCATAATCCTTTGTGTTTTAGTGTTTGCTTGGACATTTGTTTGACATAAAGTCCCTCAGCCTCACAGTGATCATGAATTACAGGTAAGATGTTGAGTTTGGATTCTAATGTGGCAATTCATTTAATTAATTTCCCTTTTTAATGTTTGTTTTTCATTTAATTATGACAGTAAATTAATCAATGGAAAGGAAATACATTTACCAGTGTGTATGGTATCTGACTTTATTAGATTTATTCTTATGGAGACATTACACATCTTCCACACGAATCCCCTACAGCTGAAATCCACAATTTCTCCATGTTTTTAACCTTTTTAACCATTGTCTGAGCAGGTTTTCTCTACAGTCCTTGGGAACCTTGAGTGATAGAAACATGAAGTAAATGTTAAATGTTGGGGGGTGGTTTCACTGTCATCATACTCCAACCAGAGGAGGAAACGCTACGGATAAACGGATGTGAATACTGCAGCTTTTGAACGCAACCTTCCTCAGCTCTTCTGTCTCACAGTATTATAGTCAGACGTGCCGCTGTGACCTTCGCTGTTTGTGATGTTCACAATGCAGCAGTTTAATCCGATCCTTCTATTGTCCGTCTCTGAGTCCAAGTGAAAACTCAGAGTGAAGTAAGTGACGGAGCCCCACCCCCCATCGATGTTTCAGTCGATGATATGAATGCACTGAGCGAGCTGCAGATAATAAAACCCTCTGGATTCTGTTTCATCTCCTCTTTGATCTCCAGACTCAATGTTTGCATCGTGCGGCTGGATGGGGAACGCTCTGCTAATCTGTGTGTTTACTTGTGGGAAATTACAGCGTCTCAGTTTAAAGGATGGTGAACTCACAATATTGTCAGTGGCAGCAGAAACCCCCCCCCCCCCCCCCCAGCACATTACTGTGTATTAAGGAGATTTTCATCAAATTTCATCCTTCACTTATTGCTCCTCAGCAGGTTCAGATGCAGGTTAACAGGCTGCTGAGAGGCCACAGGAAGTTTCACCATCAGCTGCATTAAAGTCGGAGGAGTAGATTTACAATGCAGTTACATAATCGGAGTGAAAATGAACACAAAGTCTCAGTGGTCGTTTACGGGCTGAGAGATTTTTGTTAGCCATGTTAGCAGTGCAGCTCCTGGCTCGCGGTCCAGATTGAAAAGATTTACTTTGTTATCCTCAGGAGGATTTGTAATAACTTTGGTGATCGTCTGACCTCTCATCCAGCCTGAATGACTATATCAAAATAATCTCCTTTCCTAACCACTTCTCCTCGACTTCAATGGAAAATGTCATGAATGGTCAAAGAAAGATGTGAAGGAGAACGCATCAGGACTTAGCAAAAGAGAATCCAATTGTACTGGGTCGCCATTGATTGGGTTCTGCTGTTGTAGAACACTGTTCTTGGGATCCGTTCATTTTCCTCATTTGTCCCCATAAACTTGTCCAAGTTGCTATTAAAATAGAGGTTTAATGACTGTTTAAATGACAAACATTCCTCAAACCTGAACGACCACACTGGACGTTTTTTTTAAACCCTCTGATACGACCCATAGAAGTGTCTCCTGAAATAACGCCCCTACTGGACTTGCGTTCTCATTGTTTACAATAATACACACGCGGACTGTACCTTTACTGAGAGCTGCATACCTACCTTCATCGCCATGGTTACTATAATAACGGTCATGGCTTGGTTAGGTTTAGGAAAAGATGGTGATTTGGAAGTACTTCCTCAACATTAAACGTTGATGGATAACAGAAAAAACATAAACTGCTACTTTCACATGGGAATTAAACACCGCTCTCCTGTGTCGTATTGCTGTGTTTTGTTGACCTGTAATAATTACTAGGACCACTTGATGTCCTCCCAACAAAACCTTAATATGGGTCATAATAACCTGCTGCACAGAAGTGATTCCTGAAGTATAAGAGCAAGATAAGGAGAAAACTTTCAATACTAAAGTGAACAACCTTAAAGAGAAAACTTAAGGGTGTTTTGTGCAACTGTCTTTATTTCAAGGAAACTTTAATTAGCTCGTACTGACGTTCACTGCAGCTCAGACAAATCTAAGACTTGTTCTTTCTTTCTGTTCATAGTAGAGCTGCATCTCTCTTTATCGACACCTCTGAGGATGCAGTCGTCTTGTTTCAATAACCTTTGTTTACAGTTGATGTCATTGTGACAGAAATGATGGACAAAACCACAAAAATAAGACTCAAGTTGTAAAAAAAAAACAGGTAGCTTCCTTACCTAAGACATTTATTTTGAAGGGACTGCTGTCATCTTTCTTCCCCAGTTTTTCTTTGTCAGCTGTGGGGGACACAGAGGGACAGAGTCAGTTACACACAGACAGACAGTCACCTTTACACTTCCTGTGAGTGAGTGAGAACAACTCGACTTTTCCAACAACACCGTGGAAAATCAACAGATTTCATCCAGGCGGCAGTTGTTTTTGCTGAGTCTGAAGCGCCGTCACCTGAACGTTTGACTTCCTGTCTGCTGTCTTTTCTAATCTGTGTGTTGACTCTGTGTGCGTGTGTGTGTGTGTTGTGTTTTGTGTGTTGTTCGCTCCTCAAAGCAGACTAAAGGATGTGTAGGATGTCAGAGGATGATTACTCGCTGTCTGGGTCTCGCTTTGTTTGTTAGAGTCAAGGTGGGGAAGGGTCAATCAGAGTCTCACTGTCCGTGTGTATGTGTGTGTGTGTGTGAGAAGGTGGTGGGTGACGACAAACAAACAAACAAAGAAGCAGTGGGTTTGTTTGGTGCATTGTTGTTGTGGTTGTTTTTCTGTCGACAGGCTTCATGTCTTCATGCTGTCTGCTGGAGGAGGAGCTGCTGGGAATGTTAACCAGCACACACACACACACACACACACACACACACACACACACACACACACACACACACACACACACACACACACACACACACACACACCTGAAACACACAAAGAAACAAACACACACTCATCCATTTTTAATGCTCCCATCATGCCTTTTAGAAATATTGACAAACTTGCTCTCTCCTTCTCTCTCTCTCTCTCTCTCTATTCCTCCCCCTCCATCCCTCCTTCCTCTCTCCTCCATCTCCATTTCTCCCTCTCCCACCTCATCCCTGTCATCATCCATCCCATCCCTCTCCTCTCCCCCTCTCTTCACCTCCTCCCCCCTCTTTCATTCCCTTGTCCTCCCTCTCTCTCATTCTCCGCTCTCTCTCCTCCTCCCTCCCTCCCTCCCTCTCTCTCTCTCTGACTCAAAAAACATGAAACATGAAATATTTTGTGATGCCAAAGCTGCAGAAAACAGAATGAAAACACAGATTACATAACAATCTGCTGAAGTAAGAAAAATGGAAACAGTCAACAACAGACAAAACCTGTCACTATGTGGCTAAAAGTATATGGACACATCTGTATAGTTGTTGTATAGATCATCCTATAAGAGGCTGAAATCTACAAATATTTGACATATTTTCATTATTTTTGCTTGAAAATTATTCAAATCAAAATCTTTGTCGATTAGTCGATCAACTAAGCAGTTAATTGACCCACAATTTCTTTTTTTTTTTTTACTTTTTATTTATGAATATTTTCCACATTATGAAAATAAATAGAGAAATAAAGATTCTGTCTCATTGGCTAAATAAACACATTTTTCCATCATTTTTCTCCCAGTTCTTTTTGGAGTCGTATGGAGTAAGTCATCAGTAGGACAGTAGGAAATTCTTCTGAAGCCATCATTTTTTAACTGCGTTTTTACTTGCTGCCAGCATGATCTTCAAGTGATAGATATCATCTTTTCTTAGTCCAGTTGACCCACAATTTCAACCCATTATTTATTTTATTTGACCATTAATTGTATTCATATTTTGAAATGTTTTATTATCTTTTCCTTGTCTTTTACCCATTTATGTAGTTTTATTTATTAACTGTATTTATTTGATTTGAAAAAATCTAATAAAATAAAAAAGAAAATAAAGGTGTGAAAAATGACCACAAGAAAAACCTTACAAGTTTCCTTGTAAAACGATTGAATTTATTTGGTCCTTGAAATCAAACCTTGTGAATGTGGTGATTGGCCTGACGCCTCGAAAAGAAAGCAGATCAGGAGAGAGGGCAGGTGCTCCTCACCTCAGGGTGCTAGACGCCCCTCATGCCCCCCCCCCCCACCTACCACCTCCCTGAGCCAATCAAACGCTTGGTCACCGGCCACCGGCCACCTTACAGCCATAACCACTGACAAGAAATCCATATATCCTGCTGGGTTTACCGTCTCCTGCCAACACCCAGAGAGAAAGAGACAGAGGGAGGGAGCTGAGCGTCTCCCATCAGACAACACATTGTGATTCAAGGTGAGTCTATCAACATAAATCAGATCTCAGAAGATGCTCTGAGGATGTACTGAGACTGGAGGAGCTCTGGGTGTTGGCACAGACCCTGGAAAACATCAGACAGCAAACTGTGACTGCAAATGAGGTTTGTATCCAACACCCCAACACAGCCAGTGATGGATCAGAGGAGTTAACGTGACTTTTTATCTTCTCCCTTCAAAGCTGCTGTGGATATGAAGAATGAAACATATAAATCTGTCTGTGACATTGCTCATGCAGATACTTGGAAAGAAAAGCAATGATAATGATCAACACATATTTGGTAAACAGATCTGTTTACAGAAACTGTTCTGTTCAGGATTCAGAGGTTTGGTCCGACCCCAAGTCAAACACTGCAACAACAACCAGGTTTCTTCAGTGCAGCTGTTAGGCACTTTTATGTAGAGTGCAACTTTTAAAGCACTTCATCTGCATGTTATTAAACTAGAATGGCACTCAGTAGAACACATACCAGAGGTATAGGCAAGGCCAAACAATCCTAGACAGGTCTGTCAGATCCAGTCACAGATCTCAACACCATAAATATGTCAGATTTTTTACATCAACATAAATTGAAAATGAAAGTGCTCTATCCTGCAATGTTACGGAAAGTGATAAAAATTCCTGGATCTGCTGCTTTAACTGGGCCAGCACCAAAATGTAATGGGTTTGTCACTGGCCCAGGACTATCCCTCCACAAAGTGTGGCGCAAATCAGTTCAGTACTTCATGTGTAATCCTGCTGACACCAATCGACCGAAAGATCGACCGAAAGACCGACTGACAGACCGACCGACCGACCAACCAACCGACCGGCCGACCGACCGACCAACAAATGGTCAACAAACATCTGTGAAAACAAAACCTCTTTGGTGGAAGTAATAACATTTTGGGTAATACAGTAATAATACTGATTTTTTCACCATCAAAGTGAGCTAGCTCTGGTTTCTGACAGAGCTGTGGAGTCACTGTAAAACATGTCTGCAGTCACTCGTCTCCACACACTTCCTCTGCGTCAGGTTCAAACAGGAAGCAGATTAATGTCTTTTGGAATCAAAGCTCAGCTTCCATGGAAACAAACTGCACGCTTGGTTTGTGGGTTAATTGAAAACATTGGTGATTAGACACATTAATTTGTCTGACACGGTTTCAATAATGAGGCTGATTTATGGCAGAGATGAAACGGTCACAGTTGTGCAGTCAGCAGTGTTCACCGAAGGTGAAACAACATCAATCCTGCATTTTACTACATCAGCAAGTTAATGTGGAATAATGACCTCCGTCTACAGCACAGCACAGCACCAGAGGGGGGTGGGAGGGTGGGGTGAGGGGGATCTGGGATTCAGGGAAAACGGTTCAAGGGTTTTACACAAGACCAACAGCAGAGGGAAAACATCCTCAGGTGTCACAGGCATAAAGACTCTGAGAGAAGTGTTTAAAATGTTCAATCTATAATTTTTCCGCATTTAGATCAACTGAAGAAGGAAAGGAAGGACTGAAATGAATATGAAGGAAGGAAGGAATTAAGGAAGGAAGGAAGGAGGTTCTATATTAATACTGTGAAAGTATCAAAGCCTCAGTCCACAGAGAAATGCACACAGCCTGTATTCAGAAACTGAGCCTTAAAACCAGCTGTCAGGACTTCTGGAACTTTGTGATGTCACAACAAAGCAGGCACTGCTCTTAGCTATGTGGCAAGCCCCGCCCACCCGGACCCACTATCCAACCTTGCAGGATTTGGCTTCTCTGAGTGTTTACCTGAAATCTGCTATATTTCTATTGGATCACTCAGAAAACAGTCAGCCAATCAGAAGAGAGGCTCAGAGCCTCCTCTCTTCTGATTGGCTCACTGACCTGCTGTTACTGGAGCTCCAGAGAGAAGCCTGAGAGAGGAGATGTAAAACTACATTGAGATGGTTTTTGGTTCTTAAAACCACAAATATATCTTCTTATGGATCAACATTTACAACGTAAATGTGGTCTGATGAAATGTTATTGAGGCATAGTGTGGCTGAATATCTGAATATCAGCTGCATGTTTTTAGCTTTTTAGTTCATGCACATCTGCATCATATGAAGCCCTGTAGCTCCTGTTAGCACCGAGCAGACAGAAATCACCTGCACTACTCTGAAGGGGGAAGGGTGGGGGGGGTGGGGATATTACTGCAACCTTCAAAAACCTGCTCAGAGCAAATCCAAAGCATGTTTCATGTGTGTTAAAAAGCGAAGTATTTCCCTCTGAGATGTGGTGGAGGAGAAGTCAAACCTGCACTGACTTCATTTTGTAAAGTGAATCAGAGAAACCGTCTCACTTTCATCTGAGGATCAGTGAGTGTTTGAGTCTGAACTGAAGAACCACTGAGAGTCTCTGAGGCTCTATAAAATGCTTTTCATTTACAGGGCAGTTTATTGGTGAGGACTGGGCCTCTTTCATAATTCACCCAGGTTATGGCAGCCCATTTCTGAAGCTCAACAAGGCGGGATGAAGGGATTTTCCAATTTGGATTCAATAAAACGACGATAGTGGCATCAGCAGGTAGATTTATGTGTGGTCTCACACACACTCCAATCGAGGTCTGAGATCGACACTGTGAGGGGCTGAAGCTAAATCCACAGAAATCTGTGTTTACAGAATATCATCAAAGTCACAGAAAAAATACAAAAATAAAGACAGGCTGTCTCAATCAATGAAAGACAAAAACTGACAAAATGAACAGGAACTGTTGGAAAAAAATATAAAAACTACAACCCTTTTAGATTTATGGTAAGGACACTGGGGTGCTCTGGATTATATGGAGAGCCTCCCATGTCCACTTTCCCATCATCAAACTATCACCTGGACAGAAAACAGGGATGAAATGAGTTCCTCTCACCAATAAACTAGCTTTTAAGATATCATCGGAATTCATGGCTAGTTCATGGGACTCATCCCGAATCAACACTC